CGGTGTCGGCGAGGGCGGTGTCGGCGAGGGCGTGCGGCGAGCGGCGTTGTCGGCGAGCGGCTGGTGTCGCGAGGGCGTTGGTCGGCGAGGGGAGTGTCCGGCGAGGCGGTGTCCGGAGGGGCGTGTCGCCGAGGGTCGGTGTCGCGCGAGGCGGTGTCGGCCGTAGGTGGCGAGGGTCGGTCGGCGAGGCGGCGGTGGTCGGCGAGGCGTGTCGCGAGGGCGGTGTCGGCGAGGCGTGTCGGCTAGGGCGGTGTCGGCGAGGCGGCGCGGTGTCGGCGAGGGCGGGTGTCGCGAGGCGGTGTCGCGAGGGCCGGTGTCGGCGAGGGCGGATGGGGCGTGTCGGCGAGGGCGTGTCGGCGAGGCGGTGTCGGCGAGGGCGGGTGGCGAGGCGGTGTCGGCGAGCGGTGTCGGCGAGGGCCGGCTGTCGGCAGAGGCGTGTCGGCGAGGGCGGTGTCGGCGAGGCGTGTCGGCAAGAGGCGTCGGCTATGGGGCGCGTGTCGGCGAGGGCCGTGTCGGCTGAGGGCCGGTGTCGGCGAGGGGTTCGGCGAGGGCGGTGTCGGCGAGGCGGTGGTTCGGCGAGGGCGGTGTCAGTGGGGCGGCGTCGCGAGGGCGTTGTCGACGAGGCGGTGTCGGCGAGCGGTTTTCGGCTGACGGGCGATGTCCGGCGGGTCGGCGAGGGTGTCGGCGAGGGCGGTGTCAGCGGTGTCGCGAGGGCGGTGTCGGCGAGGGCGGTGTGGGAGGCGGGCGCGAGGGCGCGTGTCGGGCGAGGGCGGTGTCGGCGAGGGCGGTGTCGCGAGCGGCGGGTGTCGGCGAGGGCGTTGTCGGCGAGGCGTGTCGTGCGAGGGGGCGGTGTCGGCGGAGCGCGGTGTCGGCTGAGGCGGTGGCGCGACGAGGTCGGGTCGGGGCGGACGGTGTCGGCGAGGGCGGTTCGGCCGAGGCCGGTGGCGAGGCGGTGTCGGCGAGTTGCGCAGGCCGGTGTGGCGGTTGCGAGGGCGTGTGCGGCTGCGCGAGGGCGGCTGTCGGCGAGCTTGGGCGGTGTCGCGTTGCGCGAGGCGGTGGCGAGGTGTCGGGGCGGGGTCGCGAGGGCGGTGTCGGCAGAGCCGGTTGTCGCGAGGGCGGTGTTCGCGAGGGCCGGTTGTCGGCGAGGCGGTTGTCGGCGAGGGGCGGTGGTCGGACGAGCGTGTCGGCGAGGCGGTTGTCGGCGAGGGCGGTGGTCGCGAGGGCGTGTCGGCGAGGCGGTGTGGCAGGTTCGGCAGAGGGCGCGTGTCAAGGGCGGTGCGCGCGCGTGCTCGGCGAGGCGGTGTCGGCGAGGCCGTTCCGACGAGCGGCGGTGTCGGGCAGTGGCGTAGCTGTGCGGAAGCGAGGGCGGGGCGGTTCGGCGAGGGCGGTGTCGGCGAGGGCGGTCTGCGGCGGTCTGCAGGGCGAGCGGTGTCCGGCGAGGGCGGTGTGAGGCTGTCGCACGAGGGCGGGTGTGGCGAGCGCGGGTCGGCGAGGGCGGTGTGTCGGCGAGGGCCGGGGTCGGCGAGGGCGTTGGTCGGCGCAGGGCGGTGTCGGCGAGGGCCGGTTTGTCGCGAGGGCCAGGTGTCGGCCGGAGGCGGTGTCGGGCCAGGGCGTGTCGCGCGAGGGCGGCTTCGGCGCAGTGCGGTGTCCGGCAGAGGGCAGTGTCGACGAGGGCCTGGTGTGCGAGGGGCCGCGTGTCGGCGAGGCCGGATATTCCCACTGTCGGCGAGGGCCCGGTGTCGCGCGAGGTCGGTGTCGGCGAGGGAGTGTCGGCCGAGGCGGTTCGACGAGCGGCGGTTAGACCTGTCGGCAGGGCGGTGTTCGAGCGAGGGCGGTGTCGACGAGGGGCGTGTCGGACGAGGGCGGTGTCCGGCGAGGGCGGTGTCGGCCGAGGCGTGGTCGCGAGGGCGGTGTCGCGAGGGCCCGTGCGACGAGGGCGGTGTCGCGAGGGCCGGGCGGTGATGGCCGGTGTCGGCGACGGCGGAGACACGGAGGGCGGAGACAGCGAAGCGGGACTGGTGACGGCGAAGGGAGGGAGGACCGTGAGACGTGACGGGCGGAGGGCGCGCGGGTGGTCGACGGCGCGGGCGTGTCGCTGATGACCGGTGAGCCTCGAGTGGGCAGCGGCCGGTGCCTCGAAGACAGTTGACCGGCAAGGCGGTGCGGGGAGGGCGCGGCGAGGGAGGCGCGGCGGATGCGGCGGCGAGGGCTCGTCGGGTCGTCCGCGGCGGCGCGGCGCCGCAGGGGAGCCACTCAGCCGGGCGTAATTCAGCTGCTCAGTGTATTATCCCATTCGCCCCCGCACCCGCGCCACCGCCGGTGGCCGCCGCCGCCGCCGGTGTAATGAGCTGGAAGTGGCCGGCCGCCGCGCGCCCCCGCCTCAGCCTCAGCCTGGCGTCGGTCGTTATGTCGCCTACACCTCCAGGGGGCGTTGCTGGAGAGGAGTGACGTGCGATTCTGTGCCCCGCAGGTTGCGTGAAGACATCGACGTTTCTCTGTCCCTTGCGATACAGAATTTTACTGCGAAAAGCCCATATCTCCTCCGCTGTGATGTCTTATTTTGGCTATTTCCAAATTTCTCATAATAGTCTCCCCAAACTATGAACTATTTGCTTTTACTTCACGTATTCCCTGAACCCACAAAACAACAAATCCGGTCATATTTACCATATTACTTGCGTCGTTCCCTGGCAGAGCGAATATGGGATCTGATTCTGAATGACTAGAAGCAGTAAAGAATTGTTTTGCTGGATCTGGCTAATTGGGTCTCGTGTATTATGACAGATGTGGTCATTACCAATAATTGCATTAAAATAATTAGTAGTTTTCGATAGTTTCACTACCTTTTCAGATCTATCGTGTGTAAGTCACAATAGAACTGTCACTTTTAAATAGTATGTTGGTAATGACGATATCTATTATTTATTATTTGCCATCAAGTATTTTTTTATTTAAAAAAGAGGCATAAATCACACTTCTTTAAACACTAAAGTAAGTTTTAATGTTCAGCGGATTTAATGTATTACAATGCCATTATAGTTCCAGAGGGATTAAAGTAACAGAAAAAGCAAACACAAAAGACAATGCAAGAAAAAGGAAAGAAGTATTAATAAATATTAAGTTGTGTATATTTTCATGTGGTTTTAGATTTTCTTGGCTTGTAGCTTTTATTCTGTCATTACAAAAATTTGATCAATTTACAACATCTGTAAACAGTAAATAGAATGCAATTACTAAACACGTATAGTTAACATTGTTTTAGAGATAAATACGTTCTTACTTAATTCAAAATATGAATTTTTTCCTAAAAAAGTTGCTTTCAGAGTTTAGTAGTAACTCCAAACTGAAGAAGAATAGAGGTATTTTTAATCATAAACGAATAAAATTTATTTCAAAAAATCAGAAACTTCCTTATCATTTCGCCATGTGCAGAAATGTTTGTGATCTTCCTCGTAAACAAGATTGTATTTGAGGCAATAATTTCAACACTGCGAATTTGCTTATTTTAAGACATCATTAGAACATGCATCTCGTCATCCGAGATGCGTGACTCATTGTGTAGCATTATCATTATGTCATCAGAGTCTCATCAGCCATATCATATGTTGTATGATGCCTGCATTCTTCAATTCACTGTGCAAAGCAACTGTAACTACGGCCTCCGTAAGTACTGAAAGTAACCGCCAGTTTGTCGCCAAGGACGTTGTGGTAACCAAATATGGGTCTCGGGAGTTTTTTGGGAGGGAGGGGTTCCATTTTCCGCTGCCTCGCTTTCCACCATTTATCCGCCTTCATTTCTATCATTATCACTGGCATCTCCTAATTAGACATTATTCAAAACCTCAAAGACCTCAGCAGCTGAAGGGCCCCTTCGTCCAAATAAATAATTAAATACATTTTAATTACTTAATTAATTATTTAACAAAACGAACAAAATATCGGACACATTTTTTTCTTTTTTTCATTAATTTACGTAGATGCTGAATACATAACTCTGTTTAAATTAACTATACTTATGTTGGATGGCTTAATAGCTAACTTAAATTAAAAATTAAAACTAATACAGAGGTTGAGGTGATCGATCAGGCTCCTCTAGTCGGGATCCAGTGCGGAGAATTTCTTGAGGAAAATGTGAAAGAGCAATTTTTTTTTGTATTCCGGTTCTATGTGAAGGGTTTTTGCCGAGTCTATGAACTGATAGTGAAGTGGGGTATGTTCGAGAAGAAGTTGATAGCTGGATAGGTGATATGATGGTCTAGCAGGCTGTTCCAACGCAGCTGCCCGCGAGCCACCGCGGGCATTGGCTGAGTCCGGCGGACACAGACTGCCGGCGCCTGGCGAAATATAAGCCCTCGGAGCGCGAGTCGGCCTTGGCCTGTAGTGTGTACGTCGCATTCTTTGTGTAACTGATGTTGTGTAACTTTGTATACACCTGGCCCCGCGTGAGTGCAAACAGATAGCGCGGGACAGAGTCCGCAGAGGCGCCCTCCTCCACCCCATGCCACAGGAAGCTAGCTGCGGAACAACAGAAAAGATCTGCAACACCAGACGACAAGCTGGAGTCCCTGCGTAGATCTCGAGGCAGATTCAGATGAATAGATTTATGTATTATAAAAAATATATGTATAATACTTATAGAAGTAAGAATTTCCACTTAGCCAGACGGCAACTGATATGTATAAATGTATATATTATATTAAGAAATAAATATTTGTATACATTGGTGACATGCCAGGGAGCGTTTGAAATACTTCTGAGAAATTGGTTTTGTACTATTTGTAGTTTCCTTTGGTCGTTTTTTGCTGCGATTAACCAGATTAGGCAGGCGCATAATATATCAAGGGTCTCAATATTGTCTTGTATATTTGTGTAGCTGAATTGTACGACAATGGTCTGAATCTGATACGCAATCTACAGCCAGCAGTCTTCAGGCTGTCATTTATTTCGCGGGCGTCCCTTGTTGGGTGAAACCACTGACGTCGGCTGTTGTGCTTGCAGGGCCTGGCGGCGGCGGTGGCGGCGGCGGCGGGGGCGGCGGGGTGAAGCAGGAGCCGCGCTCGCCGGCCGTGCTGAAGGCGTGCTCGCAGCTGGGGGCGTCGGCGGCGCCGTCGGGGCCCGGGCCGCTGGCCGCCGCGCCCTACCCGCCGGCGCCCGCGCCCGCGCCCCCGCCCTACTCGGCGTGCGCGGCGCCCGGCCTCGGCCCCGGCTACGGCCCTACGCACGCGCACGCGCACGCGCACGCGCAAGCGCACCCGCACTACGCAGCCAGGTGAGGCACGCTGAAAGGACGCGGCGATTACTCGGAACCGGTTTGCCGACGGTGGCAGGATTTTCGACACGAGCCAGGTCGGGTTCAGCTGCTGGAGGAGAATTTGGCTGCTCTGATCGGTAGCTTTCCGTCGTTTCTCCTAACAAAATCAGAAGAATGCCGGAGCAGTGCTCTAGCAAACGGGCCATCGAGAGGTTGCTCGAAAACACCAAGACCAAACTAAAGAAATATTATAAAACAATAATAAATAACACATACAATTTACTATTTATATGATTATATTGACCAAAAATTAAAATCTTCTTTCTTTTAATTTGTATTATTATCAAATAGGAATGTAAATGAGCGTATTCCATTATAGTCCCCGCAACAATTGTTAAAGCCGCTTTCCTACGCATGTGCTTTGTCATGCAACGTCTTTTCCAGTAATTCCCAAAGTCTTCTGCACCACATTACGAAGAACAAAAAAGTCAAAGACAGTTTATCTATCTGTATATGTAGGATTCCTCAACTAAATTTTTAACAACCCTTTTTGTTTACGTAGCAACTTACGTAGTAAACGTGTGGTGCAATTTCGAGTGTTTGATGTATTTCCATATCAGATAAATTATAACCCATACCTAGCATAGCAGTCCCATCGAAAATCACTATATGAAGAACGCATCGCCCCTCGAACTGTATTCTTTCTCCAGGCAAATACGCCTAATCGCTAGCTGATAACTCGGACATGTTACTGAAGTGAGTGGAGTTTAGAGGTAAGGGTTAGTTTTCATGAGTGATTTACTTTGTCTTGATAGCGTTACTAAAAAGAAAATTGTATTGGTTGATACAAATTATGTCAAAAAGTAAGCAAAAATATTAAAATGAATTCCTTTTTAAAGAAATTAAAAGTGAAGCACGGCATTAAACGGACAGACCATTATCCTGAATACAGAAGAGCACGCGCTATTCATTTTTGTCATAGTTTATATTAAACTCGCCCTACTTTACGATTAATCAAAGCGTAATTCATTGGAGTTATATTTCGTTAAACATGTTTAAATTTTGAAGTGCTCTTTTCTTGAATTGTCGCTTCGCAAATAAACTATTTTAATGCATTTGTCCTTCGGATCGCGGAAATAATGGAAAGAATCACAGTCCTAGCACAAGTCAGATATTGGTTGTAAGGTTCAGAGAAAGTCGTTGCCTTTGAAGCGACTGTGGCGGATTTTCGACACTAGCTACAGAGCCAGGTCGAATTCAGCCGCTGTCTGGGAGAAATTTCTACCGGCCTTCTGATGGTTTTCTATGGTTTTTCCAAACAATACCAGGCGAATATCGGAGCAGAACCACAACAAACCGCAGACCACCCGCAATTTTACCTTCCTCAGTCCCTTCATCACCTCATAAGACACACACATTATCACCAATGTCGAGAGACCGGACCGAAACTTGGAGCTTGTCCCCGATCCGGAAGTGCCTCGCTGAGGGGAGATACCTGGAGTTAACCGTAAAAATTAGAAATATTCCACCTTTATAAGTTTATTTTACTTTATTCAACAAATTTAAAGTAAACATTTGGTGCTATTTTTGAGAACATTTTGAAATTGTCCGGGGGTCTTCATGTAAAGTGCCCCCAAATTTTAAAGAATGGTTCTCAAAATCACGGTGGCTCGAGTAGAGCCAGATCGACCGGGGAATATTCATTTTGGAAAAGATCGTATGCATGATTTAGGCTCTAGTGGTGTTCACAGACGGACTGCCAGACAGATGGACGGACTATCGGACAGACGTTTTCAAAAGAACCACTTTTTCGGTATTAAAGGACCCCGAAACATGTATTTCCGTTGAAATCTGGAAGTCGATTTTCCGCACCATTACATAGCTATCCCTCAACTACGTATATTACTTCGTATATACGTACGTATACGGGAAAGTGAAAACAAGTTAGTCAGCTTTCGTTAAATAAATGCAAATCATTTGTAGGTTTTAGTGTTCGATCACGCTCCCCATAAGATTTGGCAGAAAGGAGATCCAAAAGAATCGCTCGCTTGCCTGGCCCGAGCGTAGCTGATGGGCGTGAGCTAGAGGGGCGTGTTGTGGCGTCCGCGAGTGGTGTGTGCGAATACGTCTGCTTGCCCCAGTTGCCACCAGGGGCCGCCAGGGAGAGCGCCGCTTCCCCCTCGGCCTTGAAGCTCTCGCTTCCGCTGCGGGCGGCGGCGCTGGGAGCGGCGGCGGGGGCGGCTGGCAGGGCAGGGCGCTTCCGAAGCGACCCCGCGTGAACGAGCGGGCCCACGCCTTCAGGCGCGCTTCGAGGAAGGCTGTTGCTGGCACACAGTGGGAGGGGACTCACGCGGCTTCAGACCTTTCACCCCCCACTCCCAGATGGCACACATTCACCAACACTGTCACCGGGACAGGTGGCTCAGGGCATCAACTGCAGTGCCTCTGACCGGGAGGTCCTAGGTTCCACTCCTGACTCTGGCAGGCTTTTGGACTCTAGCGAGATGCTCAGAAAGAATTCATCCGCTTTCTGGAGAATTCTAGTGGCTGGCTGCTCTGATCGGCAGTTTCCCATGGTTTCTCCGATTAACACCACCCGAATGCCGGAGCCGTACCCTAATAAATAGGCCCTCGAACCGCGCGCAATCTTTCCTTCCTCTTCCTTGTCCTAAGCACACCCCCTTACTTACACACACTTACACGCACTAGACTACCCCACATGCCGGGAGACAAGCTCAGAGCTTGCCCGAAAGGGGCGATGCCGTGAAGAAGTAGAGTGAAATAAACTTATAAAAGTAGCTTACCATCAACTTTACTGTGAACTCCGAATTTTCGAAAACTCAAAAGGGTAAAATTTATTGGACCCCTGATAATACTATAATTTTGAAGACGCGAATTTTATCAAATGAAATTTGTCATCCACAATTTTTAATTAATTTTCGTTATTTAAAAAAAACATGAATAGGTTTCACGTAACTTTGAATAATGAACAACATAAAAGCAATATTTTCTAAAAAAGCCTCATAAATTTCCTTTAAAGTGTTTGTGCGGATAGTGCAAATTTCATGGATAACATGACATAAACGCGATTATGATACTTACTTTTGGTTTTTCAAACATTACACAAATGTATTTTTTTAAATACCTCTCACGGCATTAATATTTCGATCAAGGGCGTTTTTGTACATTCTTCTATTTGTGAGTACACGTGCTTCAAAAGTTTTCTGATGTAGTTTCTTGAAACTCAACAAATTGAAATGATTTCAAATTTGTGAATTTTCAAAGATGCCCAAACGACATTTTCTCAAAAACGGCGCCAATTTTTTCAATGAAAATTTGCAAAGATGATTAGGTTTTACTTTTCTATAATAAAAGCCATATTTCAATCCTACCATTACGAGACCAAAAAAATGAAAAAATATGAATAAATGCATTTTAAGCGCCAACAGATGGTAGGTGGGTTGATGGTGGGGCAAAATTGACAAGCTAACTCAGACTTAAAAAGGTGGGGAAACTAGTTAGAGGAAATCTGTGCTAGTCGGTAGCACCATTAGCTTAAATGTGCGGTTTATAATACTGATTATAGACAGAACTATTTCCACAGATAAATATTTTCATTTTTGTCTCCCAATTAAATTATATTAATCTATTAACTCAACAAAAGTAATATACTCCCATCTACATTTAGGTTGATAAAAAGGATTCTTTCTATTTGAGTTCATGGGATATTTGAAAAAAAATCAAATACATTTTTAAAAACCTACGAAAACAATTTTCAAAATGATGTCACTAATAATTTCTGAGAAACTGATACTATGGGAGATAAAAATTAATGTTTTTTGTTTAAAGGTAGATAATGTATCGAGGAGCTAATATCAGAAAACAAAGAACAATGTTCTGTGCAATTCTTTGTTTCTTAATGATAAAAATTCCACAATCTGTTTCATGATTTATAATTAGGGAATCTTGTGAATTCAAGTAAGCATGTTCGTCAGTTTAAATGATGCTACGTTTATAATTTTTTGAGACAAAAGAGAGACTTGTAAAAATTGAGATTAAAAAAATTGAATAAAAGTTTTAGGATTGTTTCAGGTATTTATGGAGAAGAATATTCAAGAGCTCGTAAATATTACAGATTTCGTCTTTCGCAGAAAAGAGGCATGAAATTACCTTGAGAAACATTCCTTAGAGCAGCGAAAGAAGTTACTTCTGAAATTTTAACGACGTTTTAAGAAAGGGTTACTCCAAGAAACGCCGGTTAGGTCCAGAAAGTCATTAAAATGCTCGAGCTTAGACTACAAGAAACATGGCGAAGAAAATGAGAAAGCCGATTACTCTTTTAATGAGGAAGATTGTGTTCTCAAACTTTTACATCCGTATTACTCGTAAGTCGCGTTGTAGGTTGCTATCAACTGAAGGAATGAATCAAAGTCCATTCATTTTAAATAATAGCGAGTCTAATATTTGTTTAATAGTAACTTTTGGTACAGACATGTAAAATAAGATTTGATTCCTAAGCGTAAAAAAGCGTAAAATCCAAAGTAACGATAAGAATCGAGGGTAAATTTTACCATCAATAATCTGCATTTGCTCGTAGTTCATAACTTATCCATTATTGTTATATAGGGAATGATGCTTTTATTACGGCAATGCTCAGGAGACTACATAACCGGCTCTTCCACCTGAACGCACAAATATCTTATATTATTGTCTTTATATGGGGCGAGAATTGATGTTTACTCCTGGGAATGCGAAATAAAAAACCATTTCGGCACTCGCCTTAAGCGATTGAGTAAATCCGAAAAAAATGAGATTTGCAGCCGAATAATGAATGAGAGAAAAATACAAAGATAAATATGTTGATAAAATTACATTGCAGTTATAATGTGAAAAATAATAAAAGATGCAAACAATATTAGAAAACGTTGCTGGCAATTCTTGTACAATACTATTATAACTGAAGATGAGAAATAAACGTGCAGTTTTTTATTGAAAGTTGTGATTTCCACCCTTACGTAACGTCATGTATCATTTAGAATAAATATCTGATAGTTGAATTGTGTGTATAGTTAAAATTACTAAACTCTGAGCGAACTCGGACCGAAGGATCGCGGGTTCGAGTCCCGCGTCGGGCATGGTTGTATTGTGTTTCGTCCTTTCAACCGCTATCATCATCATTATCGCGTCAACCCACAGTTACCATACCGTTACAAGCAATAGTGGTCGCTAATGACCTAGTAGTTGATGCGACCTTAAATAACACACAAAAAAAACTCTGAATATATCGTAAAGGCCAAACTTTTTGAATACTCGAAGTCGTAGGCTTCCGCGACCAGAGTCATGTGGGTGATCTGGGCTGTCCGGGTGACGCCGCGTCGAAGGCTGAGTTGCCGACGTTTCGACCATCCTGTCGTGGACTTCCTCAGGGCTGATATGCGATTTTGATTATTATTCTTCAAAATCTCAAAGCTTCGACTCGAACTTTGCATACCAGCCCTGAGGAAGACCACGACAGGATGGTCGAAACGTCGGCAACTCAGCCTTCGACGCGGCGTCACCCGGACAGCCCAGATCACCCTTTTTGAATACTCGTCCGACCTTCGAACCAATTCCTCGAACAGCTTGGAGACAGAGGGCACAGGCGTCAGCGGCGGCCGGGGCTGTCATTGACAAAGGGGGTTGTCGGCTGCTGCGCCCAGCCGTTATATTAACATTCATGCGAGCCTGAAATTATTCATCGGACCAGCAACATAGCGGTATTTACGCGAAGCTGGGATTAACAGACGTCGAGCTGCGTATTATAGATTCCCCCGCTAAGCTGGGAGCTCTCCAAAATACTGACAAAGCTACAGCCGCGCTTTTGCTTTTATGCAATGGAGCCGCGTTCAAATATTGTTCGGAATTAACAATTAACCACATGCAGGGCCAGGGTTTTTGCGAATGAAAATTTTGGGAAACAAGGGCTTTGCTGTGCCGAATTTTGTTGTTATGCGGATCATATTGAGAGAATGGTAAGAAAATAAAATTTTAATTAGCATATGCGTCTGTGTAAAACTAAAAATGTCGGTGCACAAGAATAATAACACTCTCAAAATTGGCATCTTGGTATACTGTGCGGAACAGTTTGTTTCACAGCCAAAGATAATGGTTTTACTTAATACGCCAGCTGTTTTTGAGCTATCTGTATGAAATATTTGCTATAGTAAAAATATTTCTAAATTAATTTCTTCACATAACTCAAAAATGATTTGTCATTTGTCTTACCGATATATTTTTATTCTTAATTTCCACTGGCGTCTTTAACTTCTGCCTTTCTTTAAAGAATTATGAAATGTTCATGAAATATAGAATAAGGGAAATTTATGAGTGGGCCATTTGACAACCAGAAAGAATATCACAAAGTTCACTGTATTTTATTTCATGAAGAAATGTTTTCAAAAAAATATTTCATATTCTTCCAGAAAATATGAATTCATTTCTCATTGTAATTATTTATCTCAAACTAGCAGTAATGAACATAACACAAGTGCAATGTATTAGATAGACCGGTGGGTAAGATATCATTCATTCTTCCTTCGACCGCAAGGATAATGTTACAGGCAGAATGAAGTCATTTCCACACTTCTTTCATTCGCCTATTTATTTGACTATATCCATAAGCAATGTATTAACGTGGACGTATTATCGTTTTTAGAACAACTTAAGTTTTAATGCAATAAATGTCTTTTAGATATAGTAACCTTAAGATGATGTAGATGAGGTGCAGTAGATGATGTTTTAGAAATAATAGGATTAAAACTTATTTTTGTCAAATGAGTCTTAGTATGAGAAACTTTTTTCGTATTTCCTAAAAAAATTACATAAGTGAATATTGTAGTAGGAGTAAAAATTGACTCATCCCAGTTCTTTCGACATTATATAGCTAACTTCGATGTTTGTCTCTGATTGGAGTAAAGACTTAATCATTAAAAAAAACTCCCCGGCTCTTTGCAACTACTCCCTTGAAATTTGTTGTAAATTCTTCAACTAAAAGACTAAAAGGCGCAAATAAATGAAGGACTTCTAAAGATGACTCTGTTTAATTCGGCAATATATAATTCGAATTATTAGATAATTCAAACTAGAAGTTATACCACATGAAAATGCAAGTTGAGTGTGTGTTATTAGGTTCATTTTTATTTATATGTTTTGAATGTCATATTTGTATCATTTGAATGTTTTATTATATTTTTTATCTATGAAGGTAAATTCGTTAAGTCACGAATTTCATCTCATGCTGTAATTCATGAGTACAGCCACTTGCGGTGACTTTAAACCATGAAGGGTAGCTTTGCACCATGCACCACTTGAATAAGTGATTATTAAATTAAATGTTGCCATTTGTATTTTTGGTTGCTTTAACCATTAGTCCATTGAGACTTATCGATGGAATCGATTATTGGTTAAAATAACTGAAAAAACAAACGCTAACATTTAATGTAACGAACTTTTAAGACGGACTGTATGGCCGAGATCGTCAAGGCAGTAGTGCCGTAGCGATCTCGGACCGAAGGATCGCTGGTTCGAGTCCCGCCTCGGGCATGGTTGCATGTGTATACGTAGTTTCACCCCCTATCATCAACATATCGTGTCGTCTTCACAGTTACCATACCGTTAAATGCAATAGTGGTCGCTAATGACCTAGAAGTTGATGCCGCCTTAAGTTTAAGTAAAAATAACAAAACATTTATTATATTAAACAAACAGTATTTACGATGTAAAGTCACCCTCGGTGGTCTAAACTCACCCCAAATTGCTCTATGACTTTGCTTTCGTGCATTGTCCCTCCGAGGGAGACGGGTCTCTCCGCCTCCGCCTCGAGTTCCCCGGAGTTGCTCCGCGGGGCGCAGGCGGGTGAGCAGGCGGGTGAGCAGGCGGGTGAGCAGGCGGGTGAGCAGGCGGGTGAGCAGGCGGGTGAGCTGGCGGGTGAGCTGGCGGGGCGAGCTGGCGCGGCGAGCAAAGGGTGGCGCTGTGTTGCAGGTCGGAGCGGCCGGCGCTGGCGGGGTACGGCCGCGCGCCCGTCAAGCTGGAGCCCAGCGACCGCGCGTACGACGGCGCCGACTTCGGTGAGTGCCGCCCCGGGGCCCCGCTCACACACCCCCACGCCGCGCAAATGAGCACAGTTGAAGAGCGTATTCCCAGAGTAGAGGCGGCTCCACACATTCGGTATTCGCGGAGAGTAGGGCGAATACCGAATGTTCGGTGCTCGGCGAATCGCAAGCAACCCGTCCACACTACTCGAGATTCGGCGAGGGGTTGCTTGGGATTCGCCAAAGGCCGCATGTGTGGAGCCGCCTTAACGTATTTACTAACTTCATTTACCTGAACGTACAGGAAATACCACCAACTATGGGCCACACCCAAAACTTGTAAACGGTTCCCGATATCGAAATATATTTTTCGCTCCACAATTTGGAATCATGGGGCAAGTAATGTGCCGTAGAGATATTGTTTGAAATATTTTTAGTTTTTGAGTTTGTAAATAGAACAATATATTTCTCTCATTAGCAATAGATAGATCATAAAAAGGGGAACGCAATGATGTAACATGTCTTGATATTTTGATAGAATTGTGTGTATAAAATTATACTTTCTGTCGTGAAATTTTAAATTTAAAGTGCAATTTTCCCTGTGGCAACAGTCGCTTTTAGGGAAGGTGTCCCTCCCGGCTTCTCCACTCTCCCCGCAAACGTGTTGGTGCCGCGAAGGCAACCTTCCCCAAAGGCGACAGTTCGTCGGGTTGCTACAGGAAATCTCGTACATTTAATTTCAAATCATATGCACCAAGAATAATCTTATACTCAAAATACTATTAAAACATTAACACATGTTACATCATTGCATTCATCTATGATATATCTATTACAAATGAGAAAAAAAACATTGTTGCATTTAAAAAATTAAAGGTGATTTAATTTCTCGTAAACTAAAAATATTTCGAACAATATCTCTACGGCACATTACTTACACCATTTTTCCACATTGTTGAGCGTAAGCTGTATTTCAATATCGGGAACCGTTTATACATTATGGGGGTATGTTCCCATAATTCGTGGGACTCTCTGTATATTCTTAAGACGCTCAATAAGAGCGTTTCTTCTGTGTTGAATACTTGAAACTAGTTTAATCCTATCTTGAACTTTGAGACAAAATGTAAATACTTTCACTTCCTGAAAAATGTGTTCCAAGGACATTCACCACTTTGGGAATAAGCTCTTGAATTGTGTGATTACATTTTGCTAGTAGTTTTTGAAGTTACCTACATCTCTTGCCTTTCTGGTTACATTTTTATATGTAACATTTTACTGTAATACAAAAAATCCGGTAGTTATTATCAACTTCCTTTTTTTAGATAAAAAAGGAAATGTAATTTGTTTTATAAAAGGAATTATTTTATAAAACGATTAGCTGACAATCACACACATGATTAGTACTATTTGATAACTATTTGACCAGTATACGTGAGTTTAGAAGTCTTACTTTAAGCGATTTTGTAAACTTGTCTCGTATTCGTCAATTGACGTCGGTTCCATTATGATTTTCGCAACATTTTCCTTCTTCTATCGGCATTATTTAAGTTCTTATTCTTATGTGCGGAGTGATCTCGATTTTTAGTTCATCTGAATACTATAAGTAACAGTGTAGACAATACTTTGAACATACTTTTTTTTTCTCTTCTTGTATTTAATATCAATGTCACGATATGGGTACATTTTCATGACATGACATTTTCAGGACGGGGCATTTCAATGTAAGGTTTTGAAAAACGTTTGATTATAATAGCCAGATATAATCTATGGGCACCATCCGTAAGTTTTATTGAAGTGTGTTGAAGGCACCGCTTCCGCGGTCGGTCATGCAGTTTGCCCTTGGCTGACCGGACGGAACTCACGTGATTAACAGTTTTCAATGAAATGCATTGTCAGCTGTGATGAAGGTCAAAAGTAAAATGTGCTAATAGTTCGGGGTCGCGAGGTGACACCAGTGCCATTCCTAAGCAACATCCAAACAGAAGCATCGGCATTCACACAACTCTTACCTTAAACTATAGAATCAACCAATCGCCTACCCCGAATGTAGTAGTTAATCAGCTGACCGCCATTACAACTGTGAAAAGTGAGGTCGTGTTAATCAGCGTTACATAAGTATAATTTGTGAGTATTGAGTGTTTTTTGGTTATTGTTAATCGGATTTCGTGGCAGTGCGTCGTAACTTAGTAGAGTGCGGTGTTCTCCACTTCGCGATCGCACGAAGAACCGAGAGCCATTTTATTCGTTTCCAATCATCTTTTTTTCTTCTCGATAAATAAACACTCACGAATCCAAGGTGTTTACAGAATCTAGCATTGTATTACTGGTATTGGAAGTTCTAATTGTTAAGTTATTTTCTTAATACTGTATCGTTTGACACTATATTAACACAACACAAACCAAACAGAGGAATGAAAAGTCATTTCAAACGGCCGGTGTATGTTAAAGAATTTAACAGTCCGCCGTTCATTTCGAACAATCAAAACAACTTACTTGTTTAAAAATATAGTGCAAGAGTTTAATTTCTTGAAAAAAAGGGTTACCTTATCATTTTTCTTGTATCTAAGAACGTGTATGAAGAATATTTAACGACACACGGTCGAAATCACAAAATACAGTCTTAACGGCGTTAGTGATTGAAATGTCAAATGATTTTTTGAACTACAACATTCTGTGTTCATTGCAAACGAGTTGTGATCTAGTGTGACAAATAAGTCAATATGACTTTCGAATTTCTTTGGAAAAAGACTTTAAAAATGCAGCGTCCTTCAAATTCCTTATCTGTGACAGTCGTGAAGAGGCCATATCACGTCGATTTTTTGGCACCTCCCTGATTACATATCCGAATCAAGTTTCGATCAAAACTAAATCAAAATTTGGAAAAAATATCGCCTAAATGTATTCTTCCACAAGCCAGAATATATTTGAAGGAAACATGAGAGTTTGAATGTACAAAAAATGACAAATGGTCTTTAGATGCAATTGATTGTACTTTATTAACTCAATTCTTCCAGAAATGCTAGAACTCCATTATTGTATTAAAGGAGCAGTGTTCAATGGAGAACAATTAAATGATGTGTGTGCCTTTCTCGATGGAGAAGCGAAACTTGACAGTTGTTACTTTAATTATTTCTTAAACTGGATAACAGTTCCTTGGTCAGAAATTAGAGCAGCAAAATTCGTGGCACTTTTTCCTTGTGTACAACCAGAGGAGCGCCTTTCTTCGAGAAAACAAAGAACGACCTACGCGAACCCGAGAACGGCAGGTCACACTGGCTGTGTACACATGGTACAATATGGGCAAATGGATTCTGTAGGCAACGCATAATTTCCTAGCATTATTATTCCACAATATTGTTGGAGGCAACTTGACGCTTCACTGCCCATTTCCAAGATGATGTGGAGGCCTGTGGTTATCGCGTTTCGAATCTTCTTGCAACGGTTCCAGCCTTAGAAGAGTTGTACACAATTCATGAGACTCTTACCAGAAATTGGACTCAAAAGTGAGGAAAAATAAAATCAAGGAGAAGATGGAGAGGGTGTCTAGGCTTATTTTATTTCATTGCTCTCAATGTTAACGATTTCTTTTCCTAAGAAACAGTTCCTTTTACAGAAGTTTCCAATATTCAATCGGCAAAACACTTGAAAATATATGTTTTTAAATGTTGAGGGTCAAATTCTAAATCCCCAAACACAACCCCACAAAATGTCTCTCTCCGCAGCAAATCGCTGGTGCAGTGGCACAATATGCAGCAACATTTGTAAACGCGAAACAAATTTTGGCGAACAACAAAATCCATTTTGCTCCAGTCGCAATTTCCCGTCCGTGATGGAGGGCTGACGAGGTAGACGAGCGGCCTCAGTAGCTCTTCTTTCGTCTCTCAATCAGAGCGATTGATTTTCGCCGGGATCAGCTGAGAGGGGCGGAGGAGCAGGGCGCGTGCGGAAGCGCAGAAGGGAGAAGGGCGACCGCTCCGGCGTCTTCTAGTCCGCGCCGGAGGGGGCCGAGGGCGCTGGGTGGGGACGG